TCTCTTCTCTTCGCTGCTCTTCTCTGCTCTTCTCTTCTCTTCTCTTCCCTTCCCTTCCCTTCCCTTCCCTTCCCTTCCCTTCCCTTCCCTTCCCTCAGTTCTAAAGTTCTCTGGGTGGCAGATGTTGTGGCTCATGGAGCAGGGGGAAGACTGAATGACCAGAGGGTGTTCACAGTACTGGGGACCCGAGAGTCACTAATTTTGCCTTGATCTCTTGTCTTTCCCCAGGTGAGCACAAGAGAGAAAGGAGGGAGACGGACAACACCCCGACAACATGATCCATGACAGGAATACAGTGTCCCCAGCACCTACGGAGAGCACGGTCTATGGGAATGGACACAATGGGACCAGGTGCTTCGCAGAACATGTCCCTGAAATCGTCACCGGTAGCATCACGCTGCTCATCTGCCTGTGCGGGCTGGTGGGGAACGCGGCCATCCTCTGGCTCCTCGGCTTCCGCATCCGCAGGAACCCCTTCACCGCCTACCTCCTGAACCTGGCCGTCGCCGACACCTGCTTTCCCTTCTGCACGTCAGCTTTCCTTGTGATATATCATATGCCCATGCTCAGCTGCTTCCAGCCGGCACTTTTGCGGGTGCTGCCGCTATTTCACTCCATGGTTCTGCTGACGTACAGCACCAGCCTCTATCTGCTCACGGCCATCAGCGTGGAGAGGTGTGTGAGTGTCCTCTGGCCCTTCTGGTGCCGATGCCACCGCCCGAAGCTCCTGTCGGCCATCATGTGCAGCCTGCTGTGGGCCCTCGCCTGTGTCCTTGCTGGGCTGGTGTACTTTGTGTGTGACCTGGGTCACTCTGAACGCTGCTGGATGGTGCTTGGAACATTGTGCTTTCTCAATTTTTGCTTTTTCACTCCCTTGATAGTTCTTTCCAACGTGATCCTCTTCATCAAGCTTAGACGTAGCTCTTGGCAACACCACCCGGCGAGGCTGTACACTGTCATCTTCCTTGCCGTTTTCTTCTTCATCCTCTTTGGCATCCCGCTCAGTGTCCAGATCTTCCTCAACTTCTTTGTCTACATTAATTTTGTCTTTGAGATCTGCCTGTTGCTGGCCTCTTTCAACAGCAGCATCAATCCGGTTATTTACGTCCTGGTTGGGAGCTACGGGAAGTCCAAGTTCAGGGGATCCGTCAAAGTGGCTCTTCAGAGGGTCTTTGAAGATAGAGCAGATTCCCAAGAGGTGGGTGAGACCCCTGTGATGGGAATTGCTGCCTAAATCCCTACGGGTGTAGACGGGCACCTGGAGTGGGGCAGCCCTGCCTCTGCACCCCGCGCCAGCACCCACGGGAGCAGAGCCCTGGGTGAGCAGGACTGGCAGTGGACAGTCCCACGTCCCTCAGGACACATCCATGCTCAGAGAGACTTCCAGGGGCAGGGCTGGTTCCCACCTCAAATTTCTTTTTAAGTTATTTTAATAAAATTGTCTTTCATGTAGCTTACTGGTGACTGCAGTTTCTTCCCTTGCTGGGTCCTTGGGGTGCCCTTGCTGGTTCTCATAATTTCAGTTGTGACAGCTCCCTCACGCTGCCCGCTGGTTTATTACACTGAAATGATGTGGTCCAGAAAGTCCTGCATCATTTTTTCTCCAGGGTGGACACGGCCACGCTCCCGGACCCCGATCTGTACCGTGTCTGCGTCCCCGCATGGAAATTCCCAACTCCTCCTGCCCCCACCCTCTTCTGGGACCTTGGTGGACCTTGGGACCCGGATACTAAAGCACCGACCGCTCACTACCTTGATCCTCAAAAGCCCCCCAGAGCAGAGGAGATGATGGCGAGGGACAGAAATGACATTTTCGGCTCTGTCTGGCTTGCTGCCCTCCTGTGCCGCAGTCTGACAGCGGAAACCCGTCTCCGTCCGGCTGACGGATCTGGCGGCACCAGTCAGCAGCCAAACCTCCACCCCGCCGAGGGGGTTCAACCGGCAAGGGACAGGCAAAGACACGCTGGCCGCAGTCTGACAGCGGAAATCCGTCTCCGTCCGGCTGACGGATCTGGCGGCACCAGTCAGCAGCCAAACCTCCACCCCGCCGAGGGGGTTCAACCGGCAAGGGACAGGCAAAGACACGCTGCCAGGGATGAGCACTGTGCCAGGTTGGACAGAGGACGGACGGACAGACAACTAAGGGCTGGTGGCTGCGGGAAAGTGCGGTTCTGGGCACAGGGTGGAGAAGGCCACGGAGCAAACTGCCAGGGCAGACCCCAGAAAAGAGACAGGAATAGAGGATGGGCAGGCTCTCGCCAGCGACAGCTCCAGGAGGTTGAGCTCTGCCTGCCAGATGGTTTTCTCAGCTTTCCTGACACACAGGGGCAACTGCTACCAGCGCCATCATATTTAGAGAACGTAGCTTCCTTTGAACACGTACGAATCTCACACATGCAAACAAATAACCGGCGTCTGTAAATATTGTGCTGGAAATCAAAATTTTAGGTGAACTTGCTCAGGGTGTTGCCCGTGAAAGCAGAAGCTGAGAAACCCTGGGTAATTCTGCTCTTTTGCTGAGCACACAGGTAGACCGGGCAGCGAGCGTTGTGCTGCACGGCATTCTTCTGGTGTACCTCCATGCTTTGCTTATCATGGCCTGTTGGCGCTCGAAAGCGTTGGCTGGGCAAGGGGATGTGAGATTCTGTAGTGGGGGACGCAAACGCAGCGTCAGCAACGGGGAGAGGAGGCGGTTTTGGTCCTGGGGTCCCCACATGTGCCAGTTCCCAGCAGGAGCACCCCTGGCTCCCAGACGCAACGGGAGCTGTTGGCATCTGACCTTCACCGCAGCCGGTCTGGGTTGGAATCCTCTCACCTAACTCTAGAAATCACCTGAGTCCATCCAGGAAAACCTTTGTAGGCTGCTGACTGACTACAAAGGGAGCATAGGAGACAACTCGGATGAAACCCGTAACTTTTAGATGGCTAAAGCCAAGCGAGCAGCATCGATTCACCTCTCCTTAGGGAAAAAAAAGGTTTTCCTGACATCCCAAAGTCATCTCTCCGCCGTCCGCCTGTGCTCTGGTTCACGCGCAGACCTCGCTGCTCAGTTAGCTCTTTCATGCGTATAGTAGCACGCTCTTGGAAATTGTGTATTCGAAGGTGAAATAATACCGTGAAATTGTGGTATACGAGTGGCAAACCCAGCTTGGAATCGGAAAGAGAAGGTCTGGAGCGACGCCAAGCTTGTAGCGCAGGGTCCTAAAGACACACCCCCGGAACAACGGGAGAAACGTTCGGCCGGTTCAAAGATACAAATATTTTGGGATTGGGGTTGCTTTAAAATGAAATGAAAGAGGAACCCGACACGGAGACAATCCGCTTTTCCCATAGGTCCGGTTTCTGAGACACTTTTTGGTTAGTCATTTCCTGTAGCAAGGCAAGCACAGATTGCAACCAGAACCCTGATACTGTCAAACACAACGGAACAGTTCCCTGTTTGCAAGAACCCTGGAGAACATGACCCGCTTGGCTGACACAGAGAGGAGTGGTTTGCGAAAGGAGCTGAGGAAGACCCCGTGCTAGACGCTGCACAGGCTCACCAAGGCAGGCTCGGGTCCAGTTTTCCAAGCGGTAATTCCAGGAAACCTCATGAAGATCCCATCACGAGGGCGGCAGCTGGCGAGCGCGGAGTGATGTGAGTCTGCAGCACGGCTGCTCCAGAGAAGTTCTCCAGGCTGCGAAAGAAGGTCAGACTTTTCTGAGTGGTGATTTTTTTTTTTTCAACTTAATCAGTGCCTCTCCTCATTGGGTTTGAACCTGTTGGTCAATTTGCACCAAATCTGACTGGGGAATAGTGGTCTCTAGGATATTAAGACCTATAAATATTGTGGTAAAAGGTGGTAGGGGAATACTGAAATGAGGGTCCCACCGAGGAACCCAGCAGCTCCGTAATATCGATTGTAATATTAGACACCTGGGAATCCATATCAGATCCACCCTCAAACCCACTTGCTCCTTGACATCTCCAAGAACAACCCTTTCATCTTATTATTTCCCTCCTCCAGATCTGTCCTGTCCAAAGCCAGGAAGGAGGCATCTCCCTAGCTTATGCTCCACCTCTGTACATTCTCCTGTGCCAGGCGTTTCATACCCATCTCCCCACATCTTGTCTTCCATCTCCTCTGTCCCTTGTTTCTCTCTCTGCTCCTCCATGTGGAAGTCAGGGCATGGGTGCAAAGATCTGAAAAACCTAGTGTGGGGGACAGCAGAGTTGCTAACATGTCTCTGTTTTGTCTCGTCCCTCCAGCTGCGTGAGAGGGAAGGAGAAGCAGCAGACATTTTGTAAGGACCACATTGCTCCCTGCCATGGAAAGAGCCAGCCCTGCTTGCTGGAGCCAGCCCGGTGGGATGGCGTATAACAGGACTTGGCATCACAGCCTGCTGAGGCATGAGGGCGATGACTACAACCGGACTGACTGCGAAGCCGGTCACTTGAGCAAAGTCCCTGTCACGCTGCTCGTCTGCCTCTGCGGGCTGGTGGGGAACGCGGCTGTCCTCTGGTTCCTCGGCTCCCGTGTCTGCAGGAACCCCATCATCATCTACGCCCTAAGCCTGGCTGTCGCCAACTTCACCTTCCTCCTCGCCATCGCCATCACCCTTGTGATATTTTATGGCCCAGAGAGCCTTTGTCACAGGCTGGGCTCACGGAATGTGACAACTGTGTTGAACATCACCATCCTCTTCGCTTTCACTGCCAGCATCTACCTCCTGACAGCCTTCAGTGCCACCACGTCTCTGTCTGTCCTCCCCTCAGCCCGCTGCCCCTGCCAGCGTTTGCCAGTGCTCGTGTGTGCCCTGCTCTGGGCCCTCTCCTTCCTGCTCACCGTGACCCTCTACCTCTGCCCTGCGGCACTCCTTGTCTTTGTCTTGACCTACCTCTTATCGGTCCTTATCCTGATTTTTTCTGGTCTGACCCTGCTCGTCAGGGTCTTGTGCTGCTCACGGCGATACCCCCCCAGGAAGCTCTGTGTTGTGGTCCTGCTAGCTGTCTGCTTCCTCCCCTTCTTCACTGCCGACTTTGGCTTCTGGCTTTTGCTAAGGCTGTTCGATTTTTCTGTTTTTGTCTTCGACACCTCTCTCCCGTTCGCCTGCGTGAACAGCAGTGTCCACCCCGTTATTTACTTCTTGGCTGGGAGCTGTACGAAGGAGTTCACACTCTCTGTTAGGGTTGCTTTCCAGAGGGCTTTTGAAGACGTAACAGAGCCCCAAAACAGAGGAGAAACTCCCGGAGACAACACAGTGGAAACAGCCGCTTAAACCTCCCTGAGAGAAGGTGCTCTCAGAACGGAGCCGTCCCGTGAGCCAGGGCGAGACAGGGGAGGTGGCTTCGCGGCGGGCCTGGCTGCGGCTGAACGGGATCAACTGCAGCACAACGAAACGCGCTGGGCAGCACGGGAACTCCTGCCTGGGATGGACACTGGACGGCGTGGTGGACCCATCACAACCTTTTGCTTTGAAACCTTTTTTTTTTTTTGCTTTGAAATCTTTTGCTTTGAAACTTTTGCTTTGAATCTGTCCTACCCAACAGTTCTGAGCTTTCCTTGTCTCAGAAGTGAGCTTGCTCTACCCTGCGCACTATTAAAACAGAGCCGTGGAGGCTCTCAGCTCCTGCCAGTGGGTTTTATTTTGGGTCTCTGGTTAAGAGCAGAGAGTGGGTGGATGAGAAAGCTTGTCACAGCAGGGCAGAACAAATTCCTGGGCAAACCCTTGTGTGTGCATCTCCAGCGGGCGCCGACACATGTGAAGAACATGTGGAGACTTCACAGTCAGCTTTGTTACTGTGCGAGCAGGCGTGCGTTTGGGATCTTCCCTGGAAGGCTTTCCCCGAAACGCATTGCTTCTGCTGCAAACCGAGTTCCGTCCGCACATCATGTGGGTTGGCTGCATGCGAGGGGTTTTGACCGGAACTGCCTCTCGTGGTTCCTCCTGCTTTTGTCCGGGCTGTCTGAACGGTAAGCCTGAGCAAATGCCATTTCGCAACCATGACCTGAGGTCTGTACCCATTTCTGGTGTGTCTGTTCCTCATCTAGAGAAAACAAGAGGAGTAGGGTTAAAATGAAATATCCCAAAAAGCACAGCCCTGCCTGAAGAATCTGTGAAGACTGGCTTTTCCATGGGAAAGAGGATACAGGGGGAGGGAAGGAAAACCACAGAATGGTCGGGGTTGGCAGGGACCTCTGGGGTCTCCCAGCCCAACCCCCCTGCCGAAGCAGGGGCACCCAGAGGCGG